TGGAAAATTTTCTGCATATAGTCCAAATATTTATATCCTGAAGCTCTTTCTACGATGGCTGCCAGCAGGGTATAGCCAAATGTTGAATACAAAAACTGACTACCTTGAGACGTCATTGCATGGGGGGGAGGGGAGAAAAGGCTTGATTATTATTTAAACACATGTGAAATATGTTCCCGCTGACAACAGTCAGACTCATAAAGTTGTAATATTTTACGTCAACATCTAAAGCTAGGTTAGGATGATGTGCCAACACTGAGTTAGCTTTGTAATGCCCATGCCTCATCGGGCCTGTTCCAGGACACAAGAACAGCATAATGTTCAGCCCAGGGGCTGAAAGGTGTATGGATCTGCTCTTTTATGTGAAAATAAATACACAATATTTATACACAAATATATCCCTAAGTATAATGTACTTAATCAGTATAATGTTACATCTATGAATGTTCTCAACATCGACCATATAGTATTTGATAATCAATTGCTGTGTTCTTCCCCGAGGAAGACGATTTCCACTTTTCTGCATGCCTTAGTTGTCTGTAGATTTTTTTTCATAGGGTTAAGTAAGGGATCACACGCTTTCTCCCATTAACTTAAGCTTGGCTATTGATGTTGGCATTGCTCAGCTCATGTGTAGCAGTCACGTTGGTCACACCATATGTGTGAGCTTCTGACATGGCTGGAAGATGCAATCTCACAGCAATCCACTGATTTTATGTCTCTTTCAATAATTCTGCTCCTTCTTATATAATCTTACGTAAATACCTTTCCTTGTAGTCACTAGAAAACAGGGTTATTCATATTTCTGCCAAATTTTGATAGTTTGAAATATTGATGCATAATTTGAATCAACACTACTTTTTGTTTGCTTACCTTCTTTAAGGAGAGTATTCCTTCCCTGGTGTCTTTGTCTGTGGAGATAGAGAATATCCCAATCCCATCTCCATTCGTGATAGAATAGGTCATATCTGCATTTGAGCCTGTGTCTGCATCATTTGCCTTTATTTTTCCAACAGCTGAACCAACTTGAGCAGACTCAGGAACATACAGCTGATAGTGTTCTGGAAAAGATTTCATATTAAAGTCACTTACAATAGTTTTTATAGAGTACAAATCTCATAAGAAAACAATGACTAGTATCTCATCAACTTCGTCAAATGACATTGCATAGAATAAACTCATGGGTTTCTCTTAAGCTTTTAAAGTATTCTATTAGGATTTTTCAATGTGACAGTATATATGAAATAATTCGAATATTAGAATAGGGATTATTTTATTATTCACACAAAACTAAAGAGAAAAATAATAGGAAATTTATTATATGGAATAAGTTTTGAATTAGTCAATCATAAGAGTAATCCCACTTTACTTTCTCTTCCCCTTGGTGTGAAGTTCAAATATGCATTGATATGAATATATGTATATGTATTTATATATGCATGTGTGAGAGAGTATATGCTTTAAATTTAAGAAGGAAAATATGATACCACAAAACATAGGCTATCAATTTATGAATAATTTACTTACTAAAATACATAAGCAGTAGCAATGAAAATTATGAAATATATTTAGAAATTTACCAAATATTTCTAATTTTATCTGTAAATTTGTTGGCACTGTATAATGGTGAGAGGAAAACTTTATTTTCACAACTAAAAACAAATCAGTATCCCAGCTGAATAATGGAAGTCCATACACATAGTGATGTAGAAGTTGTTTGGTGACTTCAGTTTTGACTGTTTATCCAAAGTGTAAAACATCTTCACCCTATAACTATCATTGCTAAAGATTTGGAAATAATACTAAAAGAGAACTGATGCTTTACTGATATAAAAATTGAGTTGGTGTTCCTATAGTCATTTAAATAACATTTAAATAATCAAATTAATAATGATAAGCGAACTATATATACTTTATTAAATATAAGGTTTGGAATGAAGATACTCTGAAAGGCTAACAACAGCTTCATCTAGAAGGCATTTTTTTCAAGGAGGGGAAGAAGCTTTCTTTTGACTTGTAGACCATAGAGACCATAGATGCTGCTCAGCTTAGGCTCCTGCCGTTTCTATTGGTTCCCCACCAGAACATAGACAATGAGAACCTATTGTTAAAGACACATGCTGTTGGTATCATATAGAAAAAATGAGATTGGAATCAAGCAGGACATTTCACGTCCAGCATCCATGAGTACACCTCACTGTACAGGTTTTGGGGAGCTTAAGATAACATACAGTTTCCTAGAGAAGAAAATGCACCAAACATATCACCCAGTTACAAATCCCACTAAGTAGAATACTATCCAGCCATATAAGATGTGTCTGTTGTGAAATAGGAGTGTGCCTATTATGGAAGAAGCTGAGTTTTCCCTAAATCTGACTCTCCAGTATCTACACCTGGCACTGCCAACTCAATTAACAACCTGTAACAGGGACAACACCCAGAGGAAACAGCTGAATTGTCTCATTTATCCAAATTGAAGTATCTTCTAATCACATTCTGCATATACAAAAAAGTCATAGTCAATTACTATTCTCAGCCTTGGTCATAGAAACCGCTCTTTCCAGTGAAATGTGGTGTCTGAAAAAGGCTTATGGTTGTACTCAATTGGTGTTGAGAAAGAGTAAGTTAATTGCTCAATCCCAAACAAGACAAGTATACCATTATCACCTGGTCAGAATATAGGTAAAAGGACTGTGAAATAAACATCTTCAAGGCAGTACACAACCACTTCAGCCAATCACGGATTCATAGTACCTTCAGATGCTGGTAAGGGCTTGGATAAGAATGGTCTATCAATAATCAGACATGAGAGACTTAGATAGCTCTCGCCATAACAGAGAACTATTGTTTGCTGATAGATTAAAGCAAGTGGAAAACTGCCTTCACTTTTGTTCTCCCAATGGTAACCACGCCTGGCTTCAATGGACAATTAACACCTAAGGGTAAGACACATGACACTGGTAAAACTAAGCTGGTTACACATAAAATTGTAATGTACCTAGAGAAAGATCCAGGAGTAAGGATGAGGAGTTGTTAGGAGAGTTCTGAGAGAGCTGGAATTAATCTACCACATGGCCCAAAATACACCACTCATTAACATATGCCCTAAGAAATTGAAACCCAATTCCATATTTTCTCTGTCATGTTTATTGCTGCACTGCTCAAAATAGGTAGAAAACAGAAAATACCTAAATGTAATTCAGTCAATGAATTGCCAATGAAATGTGGAATATAGACACTATGAAATACTATTTATCTCTAAAGCAAATGTAAATCATAAACTTTAATTAATATAAATGCATGCAGCAAGAAATAGATCCTATTGAGTAAGATTACACTGTCATATTTTCTCTCATCGGGGATCAGAAGAACAATATTTTAACCTCCTAAATTAAAATTGCTAAAAAATACCTAATATTCTAATAATTTTGGAAGATTTTCCAAGGATTTTAAAGGGAAGGAAGTGTCTGTAATCAGTTCTAGGAGGTGAGCATTCCCCTATGGTCCAGTCAAAAGACATGAACTACTGCATTCCTTGGGACATGACTCATTCCATTCCTGAATACCACATTTAGGTGGATTTCTCAATAAAGTAAACCATACATTCCTTCTATCACACAAAAAGTTATTTTATGGTATTATAGAATCTGTTGAATATGCAGTTATATATCGGTTCAAACATTCTTTATTTTGAAATCTGGAAAAGCCATCCTTCCAATATATTCATTCCTTCAAGCTCAAGCTTGTTTTATTTATGTAGGGTCTTTTCTGTTTTTGATATAAATTTTAGATATTTTATTCTATTTCAGTGAGGAATGGTATACTTAATTTTATTTCTTTAGATTTTTGGAGTTTTCATTGCAGAAGTTTTCCTCTCCTTTATTAGATTTATTCAAAGACATTCTATTATTGTTGATTTACCGTAGATGGGAGTTTATTCATGATCTTTTCTCAGGGTGTTTCATGCTGGTGTACAGAAAAACTACTGATTCATAAGTTGATTTTGTGCCTTGCCACTTGGCCAAATCTGTCAATCTTTTAAAAAGTTTTATGGGGAATATATTAAGGATATGTATACTATCATCCACAAGTGAGTGTAAAATAGCACCCACAGGTCAGTGGCAACCAACAGCTATCTAATTAGACTTAGGATCCATTCAATGAATGAAAGCTATGCCTGTACTGGAAGCTAGTCAGTTTCTTTTGACTAGGATATTCGTGAACTGTAGAAATGAATATATTCTTACTAATGTGAAACACCGGGATATTCCCCTTTTACATTCCAAATACTATACTTAATCTCATTGGTAATTTGTTGCATTTCTTTACATCAAACAGAAAGGTATAACTGCGCATGATGCCAGTATCAATGGAAAAGGGAAGGCACAGCCCTACTTCACAGATATTTCATCTATGGCTCAGGAAACATCACAGAAGATGGGAAGAAAGACCAGAAGTGACAGAATACAAAGAAGCCTGGTATTTAACAGCCTTTACTAGAAATGGCTGAATAATATATATGTGCAAACATATTTACACATGTATGTCTGTGTACATATATACATTTGTTCATATATATCTTTGTGTGTTTGTATGTGTTCATGTGTATATATGTATATGCAACAAACATAACAAAAGAGAAAAATGCTATTCATTCAGTAGAGGGAGGGTATGGAAAACATTTAAGAGAAGGTAGCTGGTAGGAGCTAGAGATAGCGAGGAGAAATTGTGCAATTTTATTGAAATTAAAACACACAAAAAACTTCTTTGATAATATGACTAGTATTCATCAAATCTTTCAATGAGCCTGAGTGTCTTTCCTAGTCAAGAGAGGAGGCTTGATGCCCAAGGAAATTCAGTTGTACCTTCAGTGAAGGATAAGATTGCTGCAGCTGTAGCATTTGTTCTTTTTTTCTTTCTTTGTTTCTTACTCCTATTCTCTCTTTCTCTCTCTCTTTCTTCCTCCTCCTCCTCACATCCTCCTTCTCCCTGGGGAGCGAATAGCCCAGAGGCAAAAGTAGTTGCAATAATTTAAATTAAGAAAAGCTATCTAGAGCCTGGTGGTGATGGCTCACTCCTTTAATCCCAACACTCAAGAGGCAAAGTAATGCAGATTTGTGTGAGTCCAAGGCCAGCCTGGTCTACAAAAGCTAATTTCGGGACAGGCTCCAAAGCTACAGAGAAACCCTGTCTCAAAAAGTCAAAAAGAAAAAAGCAGAGAGAGAGAGAGAGAGAGAGAGAGAGAGAGAGAGAGAGAGAGAGAGAGAAG